GTCCCACGGCCCTCTGCGGCCCAAAGTTAAAAACTGTTGTTGTTTTGAGGCCCTCATGGTGGCGCTCATGGCCCAGTTGGGTTAAGAATCTCTGCTCTTGATCTCAGACTAGAGAGGTCTGTGTCAGATCATATCAGACACTGATAATTATTCAGTTTTTAAAAGAAACACCTTGAATCAGCCATTTAGCCATTCTTAAAATAGGTTTGTTTTAATTGTGAACCTTGCTGTTTTGTTGTGTTGTTTTAATGGATTGTTGTATTGGTTTAGTTCATGTGTTGTCTGAACTGTTTTTATTGTTTTTATCTGCTCAGGACAGCTGATGAACTGTAGCTGTTGAGTTAATTCTGGTGCATTCATATTCATAGAATATAGATTAATGTGCACTGTCTTTAAATAAATAAATGTTTCAGTATTTCAGTTCAATGTCAGTCTAACAGCAGAAAAATGATTCAACTCTTAAATTTAAATTTGTTTTTAAATGTTCACTAATTCTAAATACAAATGAACTTTTTGTACATCTTTACCTAAACCCTACTCCCTTTTCTACATGAATGACCTAAAAGAACATGTTTACTAATGAATGCATGTTTGGAGATTAGCTTATCCTCCGTGTACCTGTGCTGTTTGTGTATTTATTAAATGTGCACTMGTGTTTTGTGAGCCAGACATAAGTTACACTGCTGTAACGCACAAGTAACACAATGAGTGTTGATCTGAATGTGTGTGAAGATGATCCTTCTCTACACTCTGCTGTCTCACACGTCTCACTGCCCTTCATTCTTCTGTCTGCATGACGAACTCTTGATTCATGCCTACATAGTTGTAATTTTAGTGATTTCTTGTAGAACTAAGTCATTCCAGTTTGTTGTTGTGTAACATGCTGTGTAGAGCTGCCTCCTGTGTTTGTTACAAACATGTGTTCAGTGTGTTCCTGTGAAATTCAACAGCACTTATTATTATTATCAGTAATGTGCTTGTTTGGTTTCCTGAAAGCTGAATGCAGATTCTTGACTTTGCTTATAGCTTGAATTATTCTTTATTGTGATTTCTTGTTTTATTTCTGTCTCCTGCTGTCCCTCTCCTGTCCTCTGCTCACATCAGATGTTCATCAAGTACATAAAGGTTAGAACTCCACTCTTCTGTCAGAGCTTCACCTTATATAAACTGCACTTTATGGTGGTTTAGTGTGACGGGTTCTCTTCAGGACAGCATCTTGTTTAATGCATGTAAACTGTAATAAACAAGCTGAAGCTGATTTAGTGGCTAATGAAGGGGTTTGTTTTATTATTTGTCTTATTAAACTGTAGCTGATGATGTGATTTTAATTTTGCTCATGTTTTCTGCAGGTTGAACTCCTGTCCCACTTTGGGTCTGAACACTTCTGTCCCCTCAGTCTCTTCAGGTAACACCTTCGTTTTCTCTGAGTATACACAGTGTTGGATAAAGTACCTCAAAGTGATACTTGAGTACAAGTGTCTTACCATAAATTTACCTTGGTAAAAGTTCAAGGCTCCTCTAAGAATATTACTTAAGTAAAAGTCTTAAATTGTCTACTATATTTTGTACTTAAGTATCAAAAGTATATTTCTGACATAAAATGTAATTAAGTATTAAAAGTACTGAGTAAAAATTAGTGGCTAGACTTCCCAAAATGACATTTATTGGGAGTCGATACCCTCAAAAATGTTTTTCTAAAGGCCAAAATGGCTATATTGTCATATAAAAATGTTAATGTTAAAAAAATTAGGATGCACTGCACCTGTTTCACATCACCATTTTTCTCAGTAAATATATTACTAGAGGTGCTAATGACATGAAATTTTCACCAGATGTCGGTAACAACCCAAGTGATCCATACATACAAAGAAATCAAACCATAAATGTCCAGA